TTACGTGCTGTGCTCAGCCACCGCTATCCAAAATCTGCATGATTTCGCCGGTGTATTTCACCAAAAGGGCAACAGTTGAGGGGCAAATACGCCGTTCATTTCGCAGACTTGAACAGATTACCGTGTTACCGAGAAGGCAGATCAAAACGCAATGTGCGCCATCCATTTAACAGTGCATACGAATGAGACACGCACCACCTCTGCACGAAAATGGCCGAAAGTAGCAAAGTATGCAGTCGAATGCTATGCTGATGTGCTCATAAAACGCGTCCACCATGTCTGCCAATGGGAGGTTTCAAAGCTTGTGTTTTGGAAGTGGTGGATGCAACATTGGCTGTGTTGAGCCTGTGGTTCGTAATTGAAAGCAAGTCGTTAAGCAGAGGTGCGGACTGGGAGACGCTATCGGTAATTTTGTTTCGTGACTTTGCGTACTTTTCTGAAGCACTGATGTCCCCTCGTAGTTTGGATGCGAAATGAAGGCCTTCAAATACAACTGCTTTGCAACTCAGGAATGAAAGAATTGAGAAGTTGCACTGATGTCGTGCTTGATGAGTAAATAAACAGTGGGTTATGCTGCTGCACCTCGCCAACAGATAACCATTCACTGGCTGCCAGTCCATTCGGGGTCGAGGTCATGCCATCTAATGAGCTTGCCCAATCTAATCGACTGCACATGAACATGTCATGCTCGTTTTCAATGTTGAAGATGCAAGAATTGGTGCCGCAGTTTGGGAACACCATCAAAGCATGTTGGCGTCACGAGTTCTTACCATTGGTGCCACTGTCTTTTGTACAATTATGTGGAGCCTTATCCTCCCTCTACTTCAGTAGCCAACTTGCTGCCATGTTGTGTGGCTGCGGGAGTAGCCATGTGTAGGTGTTCAAGTACCAATATATCCCTGCGGCGCATCCACTGCTGCTTGTGTGTTGAAGTGCGTCAACATGGTTGATGGTCTTGCTTATCGGGTCGTCACTACGTCAGACATTGGCGTACTTCTGGTGAGCTAATATGTACGCAAAACTATCTACACACTGGTGAGTGCGATAGCTCTCGGAACCACTACAATTTGAGAGTGCGACATAGTCATTGTGCTAACACTGATGCGACACGAT